GTAGCCCTGTTCTACAGTAGTTCTGTTGGGATGACGTTAGCCATAAATTCCGCAGACGGAGTCCCTCTAATGTTACGAGCGTCAGAAGAGGAAGCCGTCACTTTGTTTCAGAAGCTGTGTCTCTTGAAAAGCTCACAGGGTGACCTTAATGGTTCTTTATACATAAAATTTACATCTGAAGGATACAGTAAGCAGTAATTTAGGACAGTTCTTCCTCCTCAACTCTACAGCTCGCCGCTCGCATTTGTCCCGGTCCCGACTTTCGAAGTGTGACTGGAGAGTCTCCAGTCACATTTCGAAAGTCGGGACCGGTACAAACCGAACGAACCTACTACTCCAGTTCTGCAATTCTCGCTCTGTGTGTAACTGGGAAATGCTGTGGGAGGAATTAAGAATACCGTTCACTAGCACTGCGAACCTTGTCTGCGATACTCCTGTGACTGGCGGTTTCCCGCGTATTTCTACCCAAATTGTTTTATTCGCAACTTTCAAGGGAATATCGCAGGTGATGCGAGTGTTGCATGTGAAACGTGGGAGTTGCAAGTTGTATGCCCAAGCCCCGTCATCAGTTTAGCCCGATGTTGTTGTCGTTTTAAGCGTGTATGCCTTCAACAACAGCAGCTGAGAGTTGAGATCATGGGTTTCAAAACGCCTGTTAGAGAGTCTGGAAAAGCCACATTGAAAACAGATTAGGTTGACGACCGTCAAACTGAGGCGTGTCGTCGTCGTCGTACGACAACTGACACGTTCAACCTCAAGCCAGACAGACAGGCACACACCATGAGGAAAGTGCCTTAGAGAGATGGCCTACGTGAAAACAGCAGACACTTCGCCAAGTAACTCCGCAAAACATCGGCGAAACAAATAGTGACGAAATGGGTGGAGAAATTTCTAGCGGAGTCTTGGCGATTCCGGCTACGCCAGCTTCAAGTGAGGCTGCAGGGTAACTCGCATAAAACCGAGAGGGCCATCTTAGACCCCTTTGCTCGCAGTTGCCAAAACCTCTAGACGGTCATTGCAAAAACCAGGGCTTTGTCCGCGTCCAGTGAACTTGAACATTTCCCCACAAGCCCCCCCCCCTCTCCACCCTCCCCACTCTCGTCCAGCTAAAAAAAACGGCGGGAACCGCTCTGCAAAAACGGTTCCGTAACACCGTACCCGTAGTGATTAACCGTGATTTCGCTCTAAAGCCACTTTACTTGTACAGAACGCTCCGAAACGATCACTTTCCTTATCCGTCCCTTGTATAAATAGAAGTAGGTATAGACTGAAAACAATGTAGTGAAGTGAAATGAATACTCCCAGGTAGTCGAAAATCTCTGAAACACAGTGAGGGCAAAGCTGACTGCGTCTTCAGCAAACTTGGAAATCCCAGAACTACTCCAAGAAACAACGTAGTGAAGTGAAACCTTTCCTGAAAGATTCCCATGAAGTAGTTCTAGGAAAGTCAAAATTAGCTGGGAAATTCTACATTCCTAATGACCTGGTTATCTGAGAAGAACAAGGTCATCCTCCGCGTGGCAAACTCTGAAGCATTGTTTCGGAAGCGTCAATCCCGATCCTCGGCGGGATAATCCCATTAGGCAAACCGGCTCTAGTCTACCGTGGTAGTCCGGGTCGCACCTGTTAGTTAGCATGAATTAGAAAAATGAACTAGCAAGCTAGCACTTTTTGGGTGTAATATTATAAACCGCCTAACTCCCAGCAACTGCCCTTTCGTTCGTATACTACCAAATAGCAAGCACGCGAACATCCGTCCGAGTGTTGTACTTTTAGATGGCACTTCTCCCTGACACGAGTGTTTCAAAGAGTCTCAAAAGCTGCACCTACTTTTGATTGGCCTCGCAGATATTGTGCGAGCTCAGAACTTGCTTAGGCGCGAATACCTTGCATGACTCTCCCAAAAATGGGCTGATCAACACCTATGTACCGATCAGCACTTTATTTTTCTCATTTCATTGTAGGTAACTTTTGATTTAAGCTCGATAAATCACAAGAAAGGAGCAGTTGTTCATCAATGGAGTTTCAGTTGATGAATATGCACACATCAGACATCAAGTTGGTGTTTTCCCTCTGTGCCACAATGCCCTTAGAATATCAGGATCATGTGGTCCATTACTGAAATCATCCCTTGAAAAACAAAGCAAAAGTATCATGAGGATTAGCTAGAAAACAACTGGCTGAGATGGATTGTATGCATGTAGGTGGCCCCTTCCTCATAAGAACTACAAGTTCTGTGATGCTGAAAGTCGAGATGGGAGAAACGCTCAGTAGGCAAGCGACAAACGGGGAACCGTATTGATTAAATTGATATCCAAGTTTTTTTTTTGCCCCTCCCCCTATTCCTCTTTGTCAAGCCTCTTTCACAGCCGACCAATCACTTCACCAAACCCCCTTAAACCTAAAACTTTGCCGTCGATCGAGGGTAGGGGAGTCAAGCACACGAACAGCTATCAAAAATAGTAGTTCTGTGGCACCGCCGACTCTGGAGGTAAAGCGTCAGTAAAACATGAAAAATCAACGATCGAGAGAATTTCTCCCACCGCCAAATATAACCCCTCACTTCAGTGACCAATAGCGATCCCCGTAAGAGAGTATCAGTAAGGCTGTTACGAAAGCAGCCCGACGGTGATGGATTTATGGACTTTGATACTTTGAAATGTTGACTGGTCGCCGTCTGTACCCTCCTTGCCCTATTTCTGATGGTGTCTGAGGCGAAGACAACCGATGACAACTGAGGAATTTGTTAGGGTTAGAACGAGGACCCACCGAATGTCGAGGATTTTACTGGAAGAAGGGTTATGTTCGAGTTGCCAGAAAGAGGGTGTAATAACATGAAAGGAAAACTTGAGTGTGAGTAAAGTTTAGACCAAACTTTTCAGAAGTTATTACCTCCATACCTCCACCCCACCCACCCACTCCCTTCCGTGGTCGAACAAGTCTTTCTCAGAACTTAGGGGTAACTTAATTCAGGAAGATGGTTAAAGGAATGTGAGATTGAACAGTCAGATGAGGTTCTGTTGAACAGTAACACTTCCGCATCGCCGTGGTCAGTCCTGGATGGACGCGAACAAGGTAGAATCTCGGTGATCTCTCTGATCAACCTCTACTCTAAGCAGAGCACATCCTAGTTGGGCCTGCTGGGTCGCTGGAAAGAGAAGTTGTAATTTGGCCTTCTGGAAAATGTTTTCGGTTGTTTCTCGACTCCCCTCCTGTGTCTCTCGACAGCATTATAGGCAAACTGGTGAAATTTGGGGAAGTCCCGGAAAAATGAAAGGATGTTTAGAGAACTCAAGGAGATGGCAGGTAGGAAGGGAGTCTACCAGGAATTTTGGAGTGATCGCTTTTTGACATTTTTTCCTCAACGGCAGGATGTGCCCTGATTCCAAGGTTCACAACATCTCAAGTTGGTGGGTCGCCTTCTAAAGTAGGCTCAATATTTGGACAAAAACTACTAGCAATCACTTCTGGTCTTCGCTGCCATACCCAGGCGCCAATGAAACCTCACGCTTGCTCCATCCCTGGACTCATATGGCACTTTCTTAGAGGGAGATGCGTCCAGCCAGTTGATCGAAACACATTATGGCAGTGTGATTTCTGTCTTTCACGCACATACATTCATTCAGCTGGCTGATGGAAGGGAAGGATGTGCCCTCTTTGATGGTCGAAATCGATCCATCGTATGTACGTTCCACACCTCCTCATTCAGCGCTGCTGGCCTCACAAATCGATTCAATGCCCAATCGTTCCGGCGGATTGTCGTCGCCTTCCGATTCAACTCTTCTCGTCATGTACGATCACAATGAAAAACAGCAAATGTCTGCCGTAGAGGCCGACGGATCGCAACAAGCATGACATCACAACTAGCTATTAGGGAGGACAATACGGAGATGTCATTTGGGAGGTCAGTGGGCTGTTTCATCCCGAGCGAAGGGGGAGGGGAAGTCTTTTGGGGTGCAATTGAACAGATTCTTTGACGCCTCGGATGGAGGTTTTGGCCGATTACTGGTTACCCAGCTATCGTTCTGATCAGGAGGAATTCGGAAAATCGTCCACTGCTCGATAACCTCTCCACTTGAGAAGCAGAAGGTGAAATCGCGATAACTTTAATGGTGCCGTAAAGCATCCAGAACCCAGCACGAAAGTTCTCAGCTGTCTTATATCCCTTCAACATTGGATGGCTTTCTGAGGTCTTGAGGAATGTAGCAGTTAGATAAATCACATCCCAAGAAACTAAAACTCACGCTGACCGTCCGTCGACAGATCGCTGTGACCGCGCGGGCAGCTTGTTGGGTACAGGACACGTCTTGCTGTTGAGAGTAACTTTGACAAAATGCAACCCCCACCCTTAAAATTCCCTCCTTTGGTACGATCCCCTTCCCCGTCTTCCTGTCAATTTCCGCTATTTTTTCTGGGAATTGTTTCCGTATTTCCTCCGGAGAAGGGGAAAGGGAGTAAAGGCGAGAAGAGTCAACAACCGAAAATATTCCTTTTCCACAAAGGCAGGTGCGACCCCCTCACTACTAGGGATCCACATGCCCTGATTAGGAGTATCTAACAGTTGCTCGGGATCGCTGGAACTGGTTAGATAGCCCATGCCGAAAGGCAGGCTGTTGATATGGGAACTGCTCTTTTTTTCATCATGCTTATTACCCATTTGGGACCTCCCAAACATATTTGAAATAAGCGAGAAGGGGTGATTCTCTGCGCTAGCCAATGGGCCAAGAATCAGCTATCCATTCGAATTGATACCTTGTGGTCCCAGATGTTTGATTAGGAATCAAGGAAGCTTCCCGCTTATCGCGTTCTGTCCCCGAAAAAAACCACCGCACAGCTTTTCTGTGTTTGCGTACACGCGGCCACGCCCACACCAGTTCTTGCCATGTACGGTGTCGGCGCATGCATTCGGCCGTGAAGGCGGGGCATGCATGCGCCACAATTGGCCAGCGGTATACGGTAATCGTACCGTTAGACGTGAATGACAGTGCTGACAAGGAAATTCAACAACCGATGACGTCATCACTTACTGTGCTGTCCGAGTTGTCGGCGATACGTCGTTTTCGTGGATTTGGTGGTGCAGTCCCCGTTTCAAACGTGAATTCGGTTCGATTTGGTTGTAAATCGGAGCCATCTAAACGATGACGATTAGTCGATGATGACGAACAATTCACACCACCATATGGTATACAGTCCTAACCAGTATATGTATATGACTATTACCGTAACAAACCAGTTTCGTGCCAAAAAACTTCAGACCCAATTCGTGCGATGTGTTGTGTGCTAATGGGACTGTCATTTTACCCCTCATAGACAGTTAATAACCCTTGAGTCAGTGCTGAAGGCCAGCCGGACGTCGGACATAGCGCATGAGGCGACCGTAGTCAAATGTGGAAAATAATCACAGCCATACCAAACAAAATCGATCAATATACATGAAAAACACGTCCGGGCACAGTTCGGCTTGAGAGGGGCATTTTGGCCCTCGACGTGCTCGATCCTTTACAAGTGATAACAGGTTCTCTTACAAGAGTTGACAAGTGGACTCTAGAATCTTTGGTTTAACAAGATCTCACAGGTATCCACATGTTGGCTCGACACGTCGACGGGAATTTGCAAAGTTGCAAAATGTTCCACCTCCCAAGCCGAACTGCCCCCATATCCATATCCATCTCATACCTCCGGGTGCGTTCAAACACGTTTGTATGAGTGCTTTGCCGGTATCCGAAGAGATCATCGGTTGTAGTTTCTTTGTGGCGTACGTATAGACGTGACCTGTTTCCGATGCGACCAATAGCATAACTTGTGTGCCCGTTAACGTCGATAACTCGTAAGCCTAAATGGTAATAACCATGACTTGATTTTCAACTATTCCACTAATCGATAACCATCGAATACACTTCGAATTGAGGATAATCCACTCAGAAGCACACACCTGTGGGAGCACCAGTGGCTAGCGGGTGATCAGTTACTTAATGTTGGGTTGTGGTTGGGAGCAAGATGGGCTGATATGGATCATCGTGGGCTTATAGTGAGCTGAATAACTCCGGTTTTCCTTCAGGGCAATCTATCATCAGGGTTTAATCAAAGCAGGGCATCCACCTGTACCGAAGGCACCATATGGTTATGAGTAAAATCTCATTGTTCCCTTTGACTGCATTCGGCCTTCGTCTCTAATACAACCTCCTTAAAGCTTCACCTTCGCCCATCTCGCAGTTTCCTTCGCCGTGCATGACTTCCGTGTTCCCAGAGAAGGGTTCCAACAAAAACGCGAAAACATCGCTACTGTTCTACAAAACACCCTTTGCATAGGACTGGAAACACTCCCCAATTAGCGTCAGTATCCAATTTCCTCTCCCAGTCGACGTTGACATAGGGCCCCTATCAATGAACGCTTCCCATCAGGGATTTGCTATGTTTCCAATTTCGATCCTTTTGGACGAACTGCTGTGGGCATAATTTCTTTGCGGAGGTCCCTATGAGGTCTGTATCCTGTACAAGTCTCAGCTTCCCCCTTTCTTCCCATTTCATCGAAAAGGTCCAAAATCAGGGGTTCCAGGTCTCCTATAGGAATCCGTTCTTTCTTAGAGCTCCAGTAGGGTACTCTTGATGGTTCGATGGTAAGAACTGGCATACAAAGTAAGTTCTCCCAGTTTCAACGACTCCCAAAACAGGGCACCTGAGAAGATTTGCCATTCAGCATGATTCCCTCCGATCCTCCCCCCCCCCTCCTCCACACCTCCTGAGCGCCCCAGATACGACCCCCTTTTGGACCTCTTGTGTTTCCCAACCTCAGCGCGGTCTGCTTATGAATGCTGCTCAAAGTGCCTCTGAAGTTTCAAGCGCTCTCTCTTCAAAGGGTCTTCAATGGGTGAAAAAGTGTGAAAACGACGTACTTTTTTCATAATGCCCGTTTTCCTTTTACTAAATGTCGTATACCGTCTGAGTTTGTTACCAATATATTCCATTTTAATCTTGACGCGGCCTATAAATAACTGTTACTATCTCCGGTTATACGGTATAGTCCTGAACGGAACGCACCTTTCGTCTTTTTGCCATTTGGCAAAAGTCCAGGTGTGGAAGTCGACTCTGGCATTGCTGGTTGGGCCGACGACGAACTCTGGAGATGGTGCATCAACTGTGCCAACTCCGGTGAGTCTTCCATGAGCAACGCTGAAATGTGCAGTTACGGCGGTTAGTAGGGATTTGTAGCGTCACGCTAAAGTAGAACGACGTGAGAAAGGGCTAGAGATCGAAAAATATAGGAGTGCTCGCCATGAAAGGCCGCCAAGTAATCCGCACCACCTACCGACTCCATATATGAAATCTGATACGTCACAATTGCAAGTTATACCTTGTTTGTACTGATCGGTAAGATCGATAGCTTATCATCCGTCTGAACTCTTCCAGAGTGAAAACAAGAATAAACGCGATAGAAAAAGTATTTTAAAGTGGTCCTCATGAGGCGACTGGTGGGACGCTTCTCCACAACCTGGACCAACAGCGGGATCCCAGAAGGGCAGAGGATTACCCGGGTCCACTAGTGACCGGAAATGAGCAGTGCCCACGTTCCAATACTGGCCATAAGCGACGGAACAGTTGGGTGTCCATAGCCGGCACGACGCGCGGGCGAACGGCCATGTCGGCTATCGGTTACGGTCATCATTCACAGGAAATGATTCATAGTTTTGCCATATCGTGATGACATTATGGATGGAGCTCATTCCATCTTTCACAATCGTTGATGATGACGCTGAGAGCCTTGGATTTGTAACAGTTGTCCAGGACGCCCTTACTTTACCCAAGCGCTCTGGAACCTGGTCTAGGAAACAGTGCTCGCTGATGGATTTACGATGGAATATTCTTTCCGAGGTGAAAAAAAAACAAACAGAGCTTTCCTGATGGGAATCGATTCCCAAAGAATTCATCCCAGTTGGAGTCGTAGGGTGGGAAAGCCTTTAGAGAGCTCTACTTTGTAACCCCAAGACTAAAACGGGAATAGATGGTCACGGATATGCTCTGAATGAAAATAGAGGGCAACGATATTTCTAGAAATGTTCAATCAAATTTGGGCGCCACCGAATAACCTGACAGGAACGGGGCAGACGTCCCTTCGAGGCTTCGGAGTAAATAGTAGATAGTTGAGTAACAGCTGGACCTAGCGATCAATAACGCTGTGGCATCAGCTGATTGCCCAACTGGGAGTTTCTGGACCCTCAAGATCAGACAGTACCCTAGAAGGTGAACACCCTCACTGACTTGTGCTAGCACAGGGGAAGCTGGACAGGAATGACGTCGGCGTGTAATACTTATCCCCACGCCCAGCAATTCTCAGTAATCGACGGAAGCAAATGAGGTAAGCG